TTTTTTTTTTTTTTAATTTTGAGAGAGGCTCTTTAAATTGCTTAGGGCCTTGCTAAATTAAGGCTGACCTCAAACTTGGCAGTTTTTCTGCTTTATCCCTCCAAGTCACTGGGATTATAGGCATGCCCAGCTGTATTCCTCTTTTAATGTATTTGGGTTATAGGCTATAGCTATAGCTACTCCTTACCACCTGTGCATCAGGTACAAAGCAAACCCAGAAGATGTAAGGATTTGGCTTATGTTTTTGACTATTAGCACATTATAACGGAGGCTAAGCTTTGTAGTTTGGTTCAGGCCAACCAAGTTTATGTAGCTGTTTAAATATCAATTGTTTTTCAAGTTTAGCCATTACCCCAGGGCTGGGGCATTTGAGGGCAGTGAGGAACAGGTGTCCAAAGGAGAAATGTGTGTTTTCCAGTTGCATTAAATTTCTTACTTGGTATATTTTTTACTTGTCTTTTTTTTTTTTTTTTCTTGCTTGTGGCCTATGCTATTTTGCTTGCTCTTTGTTGGATAATCTGTCATTCAAGAGTTATAAAATGGAAGTTAGTATTTTTGCACAAATGCTTTAAGGATGAAACTGACAGGTTTAGCATTGACTTTTGCCAGTCAAGAATAGTTAGTGATAAATGTGTTTCTGTGACTTTGTCTCATTTTTGGAGTTTTGAGTATATGAACTTGTTAGAAACAATAGAGTTTTAGTTTAGAACTTAAAGCCTGGCACTGTGGCACAGACCTGTATCTCAGTGACTCAGAGGCAAAAGGCAGGAAGATCATAAGTACTTGTTCTAAACTTTTTTTTCTTTCTTGTTTTTTTTTAAGAGAGAGTGAGAGAGAATTTTTTAATATTTATTTTTTAGTTTTTGGCAGACACAACATCTTTGTATGTGGTGCTGAGGATCGAACCTGGGCAGCACGCATGCCAGGCGAGCGCGCTACCGCTTGAGCCACATTCCCAGCCCCTTGTTCTAAACTTTGAGGTATTTTTCTCTGGAAAATATTCCAATGTTAAAATTTTCATCTGACTTTAAAAGTTTGTTAACTTTTCTTTTTAGGGGAAGAGTTTGAGCAACTATCAGGAATTCTGATTTTGTCTTAAGAGATAAAATTAGCCATTTTCCTCAAGAATCTCAATTCTTCAGTAATAAGAATTGGACTATGTTTGCTTGGCCTCTACTTCCTGTTAGTGGGGAAACTCCTGCGGAGGTGCTGTGAGAAAGATTGCTAGATTGGGGAGGGGGTTTCTTGATGCCAAGGTAAGAAGTTCAAGGGAGTCTACCGAATTGCCATTAGAAGAATGGTATTTATTAAGTACTAGTTGTCCTAATCCTGAAGATTTGTTTTCACCATACTTGGAAAGACAGGAGTTAAGAATAAGAGGTCATGTAGGGGAGAAGAACGGAGGAGATACATTACAGACCTTGAAGTTAATGTTAGGGCAGGGAAGAAGCTGTACACTAAATGAAAACGGACATGTAGTAACCAAGGTCAAAGCAAGAACACAAGAGTTTCTACCTTGTTCATTCTTTAGGTTTGCATCTTATTTCCCTCCTTACCTCACATGTATATACAAATCTAGGCTTTCTATAATATACTAATGGACATTTATAGAAGTCCCAGAGGCCACTTATAGGAGGCATGTGGACCACTAACTAGAACAGTTGAGCTGAGGAATGTATCGGAAACCATCGTCATTTTCTGTCCCCTCCTGTCTTAGGCTGGCCGGTTCCCTGGTGTGTTACCTGATTCTGCCACTGTTGCAAACTGCAGAACTTCTCATTCATCCCCAAGGCCTCCAGGCAGTATCCAATGGGCAATCAGCTCTAAATGGATACCAGAACAACGTTTTCCAGCCCCTTCATTCTGATGACTGATGGAAGGAACAGAGTGGGAGGAGGGATATACTTGCCTAGTCGATGGAAAAGAAACAGACTGGCAAATTACTATACCTCTAGTACCATAGAATTCTGCAACCATACGGTTTGTATTATATATGTATTGGGGAAAGTTAGAGATGGTGACCTTCATTAGAAGTGTCTGGAGGGGATAAGAGTCAGTTGGTTTTGAAAGATGTTGAAGCCTTGAAATAATGTGCCCATATGATGAATTTTTAAATTTTAAAGCCCTTTATAAAAATACCACTGACAATAGGCTGTGCCCCCTCATTCCCCCACTACAGATTTGGACTGGAGACACTTGTTTAATAATAGCTTGTCTCAATAGCTACCTTTATGTGAGGAAAGGATAGAAAACGTTCAGGACATCATCATACAGACTTCATCTACAAAGTTCCAGCAGCAGTGACGCCTACACAGAAGACTTGGAACTGCAGACAGAGGTTGGGGTCACCTCAGTGTAACATCTCTAGACGTTGTCCAACCAAAAGTTCCTTTTTTTTTTTTTTGCGGGCTGGGGATGAAGAAGGAAGCAGAATGTACTAAAAAACAAATAATTTCATGGCTGACTTTCTCACATTTTTTATTTTTTTATTTTTGGTGGAGAGGAGGGGCTTTCGGGTAGAATTTCACATCATCTGGAGTGAAAGGAGGGAGGATGGGAAAGCTCAGCCCTTCACCCAAGAATAACCCAGTAATGACATCTGTACGCGTGGGAAGTGTTTCCCTCCACACTGGGAGGATCTGAGACTGCACCCCAGTGGGATTCCCTGCTTGAATTGGGAGGCCATTCAGAAGGCGATGGCATATCATAATGAGAGCGCCAAGGGCTTATCCGGCCAGGAATGAAATGACAGGGAAGAAACTGGAAGGCGCAGGGGCATCCCCCACTTTGTAGGTAGGGACTATGCACTAGTGGCTAAAGAGCCAGGTGACCGCTGTGGCTCGTGCCCTCTCCTGAGGGTCTGGTAGGGACGTGACGCTGCTGGGCACCGTGTCCGAGTCACGCGAGACGGCCCAGCTGTGCCCAGCGGGCCAGCGCCAGACCCTGGCGTCCTCCATCTTCTCTCCTGAGCTCCCCCTGCTCCAGCTGCCTGAGCCACGGACCGCAGCACCACACACCCCCGCGGGGGGGGACGCCGCGCCCC